CGTTTTTGGTAAACCATTCGTTAAAACATAAGGTCTATGGTTGAAACCAAGTTCAGCCGTGACTTGCAGCGGCAATAACGTCACCGTCGAGCGGAACAAAGACAGCCATGTACTTGCATGATCGGTAAACGACCAGCGCAGCCGACATACCATCACAGACATTGCTGATCACCAAGAAGTCCACACGAATGCTTGCTCAACCCTTTTCCGGTCAAGTCGGTGAAAAACCGCCGTCAATATGGGTATGCTAGAATTTACCACTCCAGCTAGCTAACTGGTTAAGTCGTTGAAAAACGGCCTGCTATTTAGGTTGCTCAGGCGGTCAAGCGTTTATAATACGTTGTACGGAACCTGATATTTTCGGCTAGACCCAATTGCATCCACGCACTGGGAGGGCCAGTCCCTAGCACGGGCTAAAGAGCGCCATCAGTCAGTGACATTTGTTAAGTCGCTGTTTACGAACGCAAAATTTCTGCTGCTGACATGTTACGTTCTAATTTTGTAGCGACTGTCACAGGAATGTAAGAGAAGACGTACCTAACTTATTTGGATGCACAGAAACAGTATACAAGGGCGTAACAGAATGCAGAGTTTTATTAATGCATGTTGTAGACAGCGAACTAAATTTATTTTGTCTATGATTGGAGCTGCTGTACGCTCTACAACAGTGACCCGATCAGCAGAGTGGAAGCAGAGTAATAACTAGTGGGATAGACTACTTTCGTGAAAGCCGAAGATGTGGTTTTTCACAAGTGCATGCATGTTGTTTTGGGGTGTAACGTAAATTTGCACACGTGATATTGTGCTTCTGAGTGTACCAATCAACGTCACAACAATTAAATTCCTGTCTATGTTTGTTTTTAGCCTGACAAAGCAGAAATATTTTTGCACCCCAGTCTTGCTTCTTACGGGAAAGTCGTCTATAGAGTCGTTATACAAACATGGGACGAGGCAACATTCCTCTAAAACTTCAGATTTCTAAAACTAATCAATTTTTCGTTCTTAGACTTGAACATTTTTTTCTTCAAAATCATGCGTCTTCTAGGTCGTGTCTTTGTTACGTCTGAGCTTGGTTGCCATTTGGAAATGAGAAAGTTGCATATATTTGTCATCACGTGCACAATATTCACAGCCAAATGTCACCCCAAAGGGCGCTTAGCCCTGTGCTAAGCGTTCGTGCACACTTCATTATCTGGACAGCGTCTTAAAATGGAATCACACATGTTTTCTTAGCATGGGCTAAGGAATTTGACCTCTTAGCCCATGCTAAGAAGCTGTGCCTGAACGAAACTATTAAAGAAAGACATAAAATGGGTGGAGTGTACACATCAACATAATGACAGTTCTGTAGCTCTTAGTTTCATCACAGTTCCTATGATTTTGTGATAGGGTTACCGGTATTTTACATAGAGCTTGAGAATTGTAACTATAGATTCAACACACATAAAAATATCCTTACTTTGTACTTTTGTTGTAGTTGTGGTCGTGGTAGTAGAAATCGTTGTTGGTAGATGGACAATACCAGGTTCTGTTGGCTCTTTGGGTATGGGTTGTTTGCCTTCATGGACGTTTTCATCATTACCTTCTCTAACATCAGTCAAATCACCAGCATGTTTTCCAGCTTGTTCAGCTTTCGTGAACGACCCCGAATCATATACCATGCTAAAATAGCCTTCATGATGTGCAAAGAGGCACTTATTTACCTTGTTGACGACACAGTTGAATAGATAACAATTTTTGTTATTCTGCTCAAACACTGCCATGTCGCAATAGTCACTTTCTACACCAGGATCGCAGAGACACTGTTCCAAGCACTCGTCGGCTGTGTTTACATTTGGTGCACTGATGAATTTCGCGCCAGCTTTCAACGAATCTTTTGTGCGAACAATGGAATCAGTACGTAATTCAAAGTAATCGTGACAATTTAACTCTTCTTTGGGTGTGTCTGGGATTTCGTTTTCATAGACTGCGTGTGCCCAGCCGCGGTCATGGCTTTGACGGCCATTGAAGCCCCCTCCCTTCTTGGGAACAACATACGGCGATGCCACTGTCAGACACCACAACATACATGTGATACATGTAAAATACTTCATGATGGGTCCTACAAAAACATACCAAAGCGCGATTACGTAGTCCAATTACCACACATCCAGTGGTTATATCGCCAAACGCGACCAATACCAGCAGATTTTCGACAACTGGATTGACGTGAGTATCACGGCGAAAAACTGTCCTTCAAAATGGCGACCCAGTAAATGCAGCGCATGCGCAATTTGGTGTAAAAACGTCATCTGTTTCACAGGTCTTTTCCGGTGAAAGTTTCGATTTTGTCCTGCATGAGAATTATTTCTACGCTTTTCTATCGCCGTCTTAGTCCAGCTTACAGCTTCAGGTCGTTTTATAGTTTCATAGCAACCACTGACCCAAAATGTTAGTGTCAGTGCAAAAAAAATAAGAATACAAAATCTCTTACACGTAAACACGAACGACCCCACGGATGTGGGTCGCGGAAGCATATTTAAGAACCATTTAAAATAGTTCGCAAAATAAATAATAATTGAACTATTAAATATTTTTATGACAATAACATGATTTCATGTAAAATTATATAAGTTTGATACGTTGCGAGTCACCGTTATCATACATTAAATATTATAATGCTATGTTAGAATGTGCGGATGAATACAATGTGTAGCGAAATATAGTAGTTTGTTTGCAAATGTCTACCATAACTAACTCGACTACTAGCATGGCGTCGACGCATTCAAGTCAAGTTTCGTTTGAATCGTCTCACAATTTAAATTCGTCAATAGATCGGAAGAGAAATTACGTTCTTACACAGAAATACGACCCCGTATTGACGAGAAGGCGATTACAGATCGAAGAATGGATGGACGAGGAGCTTAGAGAAATATATGAATGTGATGTAAGTTGTGATTTTTCTTATTTTTAAAGTGAAACGACCGCCAACAATAATACCGATTCACGAGTAGTTGTATTTGTTTGACCCTTGTGTTTATATATGTGTCAGATGTAATTTAATTGAAGCTTCTCGCACTGCAACAAACTTGGCTGTACGTGGTCGTGTGGATCATCGTCATTGTGTTTTGGACAGCTGAAGGACACAGCAGTACAATTGTATTCTTCCTGTGTGGATCTAATACATTTATGTTATGCTTTTAAAAACGATTCTGTCGGAATTTACTGTTTATGCTCATGTTGAATCTATTCAAACAGCTGTATCTGTAGTGTCCTCGGTGTTATTTATGGTGCATCTCATAGGTAGTCGATAACCGCACACGGCCCAAACCATGTAATTTGTACAAACGATGCATCGCATGCAACACTGCAGTGCAATGTACTAACAGTCGTCTTCCTTACAAGGTCGCCCCACTTCCTCTCAGCGATGTCGTTTTTCAGTCGTGTTTAATACCAGTGTTGATTTATCATGGAATATAATAATTCTTTGTTAATGGGTAATGTGACATGATGTCAATGTTAACCGTGTGTTGTAATATAAGGCCACAGGTGTCCTAGTAAAATAGAGGCACAGCCTACATGCGCAGTTTTATAATGACAGTGTCTCAGTTTGTGGAGCCTGCAGGACGACTGGTCTGCTCATTTGTAGGCTTTTTGTGTAATGATATACTTCATAAATCTTTCTCAATTCAAAGGAGTAGTTTTTTAAACACAATTACAGCATCCACCCTCTGAAGTCAGAGGGATATTTGATAGCATGGCAACTGTTTTAATTCTAAAGACATGTCACTATGTCCATGTAAGGAGAAGCCATTGTTTACACTCCAGGTAAAAAATGCTTGTAATATACATTATTTCTTTAATTTTGCTCAGCCAATTGGATATTTTGGACTTGTACACACTCACCAACGCCCTTTTACTATGATCGGTTATCGTTGGAGGAAGAAAAAGTTATTCATATGTGTCTGTTAATGTTTTGACAAATGAATACAAAACATTTTTGAGAGGGTGGGGTCACCCATTGCGTCTTACTATACTGTACAAGTACAATGAGAAGATCATGGCCTCTGCCAAAAAGAGGTCCTTGCACCTTGACTAGTCAGCACAAATGTAGCTAGTGAATGCTTTTGAGTCATACTGTATCATGTGGTGACAAATTATGTTGCTTTATAGATGAACCTTGTCATACCTGACACACTGTTGCTATTCATAAAGTATTTACAACTGTTTACATTACTAATGCTTTCCTTATGCAATCTATTATTCTGATGAATTTTGTTCTGTTTGAATTGTTCTGACAGTTCCACAGAAATTATGACTGACTGACTGACTTTTCTCAATAGAAAATTTAGTTTCCTATCTGGGGGTATCCCAAATCGTTTCATTGGGAATATACTCTAAATGACTAAATTTCTGCTGCTAGAAATGTTCAGTATTTCATAATTTGAGTGTTTATAAGGACAAAGATTTTGTGAAAGTCGCTGTAACTCTCACATAGAAACCCAGTGAAAATCACTGACTCTTGCCTTGAACCTGATGTTGTAGGACTCCGTAAATTCACAACAAAGTTAAATCGGTTTACAGTACTTACAGTACATCCCCACAGCTCTATTCTTATGGCCTGATGTCACACTTTTCAAGTTTTGTTATCGCAATGGACAAAAAAATAAGCTTGAATGAAAATGTGAGTCACAGCTTAAATCAGTAAACAAGAATATCAGTAAATCATAACACAAATATTATTTTTTGACTTCAGTATTATAGGCTATGGTTGTAAATATTAGGGCATTCTTTGTGTACATGTATTATTATAATGTACTCACCAGGGCATGTATCCTGTATTTTTTTTACAATAAATTGCTACATCAGCCATTTGTTATGCAAAATAGTGGCAAAATATGTAATGGAAGATTCTCAGGTAATTAGAAACAATAACTGAACTATATAAAATATCTCTGGCCATAGTGGAAACTAAACATTGGGATGATCGCAAACAGCAGCCTGTGTGTGTTACCTCAATACGTACAAATGTAGCTACCGGTACCCAGGATGCAGCATTTCAGTTGTGGCAGTTGTAGTGTTATGATTAGAGCGTTCCTAACAGAAATGGTGTAGTCTATAAGTCCCATAGAAACAATAGCTGCAGAAATCATAGACAATAAAAAAAGTTGTAGAAATTAAGCATGACATTAATGATTTTGCGATGTGGCAACATCAGACCGTGGCTGTCTCTATAAGCTTTGTTACATAGCAATTCCATGCAAATTAGTTGCCTTGTTTGGGCATTTACTGGGGCAGAAATTGAAAATATTTGGAGGCCATTTTGGTAATTGTCATGAATTTCAAGCACTGATACTCTTCATTTGGAATTAATACTAATACTATGTGATACTATAGCAATATCAGAATGGTTTTAATCAGAAGAGCTGTAAAACAAATACCCCCTGCAAGCATTTTTATGTGATAAGATTGGTCATACATAATACATTACTGTTTCACTCAAAAAAATGCTTACTGTGGCCGCAGGTATTATTTTAATTTCCCCTTCATCAACAAAATCGTAATCAAATTAGGTGACTGACACTTATATGTACCATATTGTACGTCTATATAGATAAAATGACAGATACATGTATACCGTATTTCCCTGAGTATACAATGTAAGCCCAGGGGCCTGAACATGTATAATCGGGAAAATTAGGGGGTGGGCTTATACTCGAGGACCACCTCAGAAAAGATAATTTTTTGAAAAATTATCCAAATTATATTGTTCGTTCATGGTCTCGGAGAAATATTACATCTTTTTAGCTCCGCTGTCGACTTTGTCGAGCGGAGCTTATCATATGAGTGATTGTCCGTCGTCGTCGTCGTCCGTGTCAATGTTTTACTTTTTCGACTGCTTCTTGAAAACTACAAGCCTAAATGCTTTGATACTTGGTGTATATGTACCTTGGGTAGACCTCTCTTAGGTTTGTTCATTTCATGTTGATATCTTTAATTCTCTAATTTTGGTGAATATTTTTGTCATTTTTAGTAAAAACTGATATTTTCGACTTCTTGTTAAAAACCGCAATTGCTTTGATATTACATATATAGGTACTACATGTGGACCTCTCTCAGATTTGTTCATTTTGTGATGATATCTTCAATTCTCTAATTTTGGTGAATATTTTTGTCATTTTTGGTAAAAAGTGATATTTTCGACTTCTTGTTGAAAACTGTAAGTCCGATTGCTTTGATATTACATATATAGGTACTACATGTGGACCTCTCTCAGATTTGTTCGTTTTGTGATGATATCTTCAATTCTCTAATTAATTTATTTTGGTGAATATTTTTGTAATTTTTGGTAAAAAGTGATATTTTCGACTTCTTGTTAAAAACTGTAAGTCCGATTGCTTTGATACTATTCATATTGTTCATTTTCTAATGATGTCTTCAGTTCTTTAATTGAAATGTGCATTGCTAACAGCGGAGCTATCTCAGCCGATAGGCTGCTTGTTTGATTTCCACGACTCTTTTTACGATGAAGAAACAAACATGTTCATAAAAATACACACATTTTATTAGCTCCGCTCTCGACTTTGTCGAGCGGAGCTTATCATATGAGTGATTGTCTGTCTCCGTCGTCGTCGTCCGTGTCAATGTTTTACTTTTTCGACTTCTTCTTGAAAACTACAAGCCTAAATGCTTTGATACTTGGTGTATATGTACCTTGGGTAGACCTCTCTTAGGTTTGTTCATTTCATGTTGATATCTTTAATTCTCTAATTTTGGTGAATATTTTTGTCATTTTTGGTAAAAACTGATATTTTCGACTTCTTGTTAAAAACCGCAAGTGCAATTGCTTTGATATTACA